AGATCATCACTGCTCAGGACATTCTAACAACAGGTAATTACGATTCCTATTTTTTCCTCTCTCGAGAATAAAAGCATTAATTGAAGAGCGTACCTTGGTACTTTGCATGCGCACATTCGTGGAGCCCGCTGTCCGTGTACTGAGATCAGTGTCCCTCCCGTAATTGCCCACAAGTACTGGCACATGAGTCCCAGCACTCAAGTACCCCCTGCAGGCTTTCTAATTAAATTTAATTTTTAATAGTATAGGAGCTTTTAGGATGTTTATGGTGGTGGAGGGGAGTAACTGTAATTATTTGTAAGCGATTATTTGAAAGTCCCTAAAGCAAACAACCACTTCATGTTCTCACTTATTCCGGTGAGGAAAGGAGAGAAAAAAATGCTTGCTGCCCACAGTTTTATTTTGTGTACAGATATTGAGGCGCACTGTGAATACGAAACTATATATTTCAGAGGCATGGAGCACGCACACCCTGGAAGACTGATCAGACTCTGAGATAGTTTAGCTCAAATGTTGGGGAAGAGAGAGGGAGAAAAGGGGACTTCTGCTACCTGTTACTGACCCAGAGGCGGCCAAGTCCCCAGCAGCCTCTGCAGGGGCCAGACATTCAGTTGTTTTACTAAAGGCTTTTTACAGTCCTTATTAGAAGCGGCACCTTCACCATTGCCAATAGCTGACCATTGTAATTACTCAATCTTTTAAAGGGAGGTTTGAGGCGAACTTTGAAAAGCCCCAATAAAGAGCAGGCGGCCCTTTCAATGGGCTGTTTATTAGAGAGGAGCCTTCGGCACCTGATCCCCGGCGCGTGGGAGAGCCTCGCCTGGGAGCCAGAGCTTTTGTACAAGGTGGGAATTTAGCAGGGGGTGTGAGGAGACTAAAGAAAGGCAAGGGAAAGATGAAGGACTTGTGCCCACTTCTGTGGCCAAATGTGTCGTTGATAGAAAAATAATTTGGTAGAAACTACTTTTCCTCGTGCATTGGCTCTCCAATCTCCCTTCTGTATAATCTTCTTACAAATCGGGGTCAGTGTTAGTAAATTACATAATGGCTCTTCTATTTATTTAAACCTCTAAGTACCTAGAAGCCAGAACAGAGATGGGTTCAGAATGTTCCATTTCCAAACTAATCATTTTTGTGAGTTGGGAGTGACTTGGGACACATGGAGGAAAAATATGTACACTGAACTTGTTTCCACACACTGCATCGGGCCAGGCAATCAGTCGCCTTGCACACAGTTAAGTTGATCACTAGGAAATGTACCCACAGCCATCCGTGACAGCCCCAGCAGTATTCACAACGCAGCAGCGAGGCACAAACATGCCAGCATGAATCGCTGCGTTTAACTTTTCCTAGAGTCATCCATTTTGCAATGGACTCCTGTGTATTTCTATTCGTGTGCATTTTTGCGGGATTAGGGAGAGGGAGCTGAAGGCTTATCTAGCTTTTAAACGTAGAGGGTTTTTTGTTTGTTTTTGCTTCCTTTCTTCTTTCTTCTTGCCTTTCTCCCTGTTGAATACAGGAAGTAGAAACATGACCAAATCATACAGCGAGAGCGGACTGATGGGCGAGCCTCAGCCCCAAGGTCCCCCAAGCTGGACAGATGAGTGTCTTAGTTCTCAGGATGAGGAACATGAGGCAGACAAGAAGGAGGACGAGCTCGAAGCCATGAATGCGGAGGAAGACTCTCTGAGAAACGGAGGAGAGGAAGAGGATGAAGATGAGGACCTGGAAGAGGAGGAGGAGGAAGAGGAGGAGGATGATCAAAAGCCCAAGAGACGGGGCCCTAAAAAGAAAAAGATGACCAAGGCGCGCCTAGAGCGTTTTAAATTAAGGCGCATGAAGGCCAACGCCCGTGAACGCAACCGCATGCACGGGCTGAACGCCGCGCTGGACAACCTGCGCAAGGTGGTACCCTGCTACTCCAAGACTCAGAAGCTGTCCAAGATCGAGACACTGCGCTTGGCCAAAAACTACATTTGGGCTCTGTCAGAGATCCTGCGTTCAGGCAAAAGCCCTGACCTGGTCTCCTTCGTTCAAACGCTCTGCAAAGGCTTGTCCCAACCCACCACCAACCTGGTCGCTGGCTGCCTGCAACTCAACCCCCGGACTTTCCTGCCAGAACAGAACCCGGACATGCCTCCGCATCTGCCCACAGCCAGCGCTTCCTTCCCGGTTCACCCCTACTCCTACCAGTCCCCGGGGCTACCTAGCCCTCCCTATGGCACCATGGACAGCTCCCATGTCTTCCACGTCAAGCCGCCGCCACATGCCTACAGCGCAGCCCTGGAACCCTTCTTTGAAAGCCCCCTGACTGATTGCACCAGTCCTTCCTTTGATGGACCCCTCAGCCCGCCGCTCAGCATCAATGGCAACTTCTCTTTCAAACACGAACCATCCGCCGAGTTTGAAAAAAATTATGCCTTTACCATGCACTACCCTGCAGCGACCCTGGCAGGGCCCCAAAGCCACGGATCAATCTTCTCGGGTGCCGCTGCCCCTCGCTGCGAGATCCCCATAGACAATATTATGTCTTTCGATAGCCATTCACATCATGAGCGAGTCATGAGTGCCCAGCTCAATGCCATCTTTCACGATTAGAGACACGTCAGTTTCACCATTCCCGGGAAACGAACCCACTGTGCTTACAGTGACTGTCGTGTTTACAGAAGACATCCTTTTTGCTACGATTTCTGCAAAGTGCAAATACTCGAAGCTTCAAGTGATATATGTATTTATTGTCGTTACTGCCTTTGGAAGAAACAGGGGATCAAAGCTCCTGTTCACCTTATGTATTGTTTTCTATAGCTCTTCTATTTTAAAAATAATAACAGTAAAGTAAAAAAGAAATTGTGTACCACGAATTTCGTGTAGCTGTATTCAGATCATATTAATTATCTGATCGGGATAAAAAAATCACAAGCAATAATTAGGATCTATGCAATTTTTAAACTAGTAATGGGCCAATTAAAATATATATAAATATATATTTTTCAACCAGCATTTTACTACTTGTTACCTTTCCCATGCTGAATTATTTTGTTGTGATTTTGTACAGAATTTTTAATGACTTTTTATAACGTGGATTTCCTATTTTAAAACCATGCAGCTTCATCAATTTTTATACATATCAGAAAAGTAGAATTATATCTAATTTATACAAAATAATTTAACTAATTTAAACCAGCAGAAAAGTGCTTAGAAAGTTATTGTGTTGCCTTAGCACTTCTTTCTTCTCTAATTGTAAAACAAAACAAAACAAAACAAATTGCACAATTTGAGCAATCCATTTCACTTTAAAGTTGTTCCCTCTCCTTAAAATAGAATCCAGATTCATAACATTCAAGAGGATGAAAAAGAGATGCATTTCTTATCAAAACATATCATTACTTGCACAAGCTTGTATATACATATTATAAATAAATGCCAACACACACACTCCTTTAAATCAAAAGCTGCTTGACTATCACATACAATTTGCACTCTTTCATTTTTAATCTTTTCTTTGAATTCCATGATTTTACGGAGTGTCTGACGCTATTGATGTTTCCAGAAAATATAAATGCATGATTTTATACATAGTCAAACAAATGGTGGTTTGTCATCTATTCATGTAATAAATCTGAGCCTAAATTTATTCAGGTTGTTAATGTTGGGATTGATACCTACGTAGTCAGTTAGTACAGTAGCTTAAGTAAAATTCAAACCATTGAATTCATAATTAGAACAATAGCTATTGCATGTAAAAATGCAGTCCAGAACAAGTGCTGTCTAGGATGTGATGCTGGTACCACTGGAATTGACCTGTACTGTAATCTTGTTTGTAACCCTGTGTATTATGGTGTAATGCACAATTTAGAAAACGCTCATGCAGTTGCAATAAAAATAGTATTGAAAATCACAATAATTGTTTCATTTCTCCCAAAAGTGTTTTTTTAAAGGGTAAAATTGTGCTCAGGAGGATCAACTTCTGGATCTGCTGAGTAAAAATGTTAAGCACTGGTTGTAAAGTAAAAAGTTGGGCTTGTCCTGTCCTTACTCTGGCGTCTTACTTAGGGAGTCTCCACTTTTTCAGACCTAGCTACTGTTTCATTATTTGGAATACTGGGCTGTAGAGTAAGCTGGACAAACAGCTGTGCTTTTTCTTTACATATCTTCACCTTTGGGGTACACTTTTTCCTGTCTGTGTGTTTATTACCAATTGTTGTCAGAGGTTTATTTTATTTTTTAATGTGGATTTACTTAACTATTAGCCAGAAAGACACAAACAAATACCTTAGTTTAATTTGTTTACACATTTAAAACATAAAAACACTTGCTATTTTCTTAGTGTTCTGTTACCTGTACATTTTCCTGAACTAAATAGTTGTCTTTTAAAACAGTGCTATAATTTCAAATATTAAACATTTGATATTGTAGGGAAATTAATTAATTGAAAGATTCCCAGAAAATGTGGCAGTTTATAATTGTTCTATAAGTGTCTTGGGATGACTTCAATACTTTTCTACAAAGGTGTTTGTATATAAGAATATACTATTTCTATTCTATTTTAGGAAGGTATATTGCTCCCCGGTCTCTTTTGCAGCCCTAGTATTTGAATGTTGATTTCATAAACACTCTCTCTCTCTCTCTCTCTCTCTCTCTCTCTCTCTCTCTCTCTCTCTCTCTCTCTCCACAACTTAACTTCTGCCATTGGTAAGTCCCTTAAAAAATAGTTTGGCATTTCCCTTCCCACGAGAAATAACTGACAGCCTGGATTCCTAGGGAATAGTATTTTGGCAGTTGTACCCTGGCTCTACTGTGGTTTTCTGATTATTGTCATTAGTAACTCCATTGTTCCTTCTCTGACTCAGAGGCCTGGTGGATGCCCACCTCCCTTCCCAACCATGTTCTTTTAATCTCCTTCTCATTGATGATTTAAGGGTTCCAGAAAGCTGACCTCATTTAGCAAGCTGCTCCAGAAAAATGTGAGTAATCTAATGGACAGGAACAATTAGCCATAGTAAAAACATTGCCAATGGGGCCGCATCAAGCTGTGACAGTAGCAGTAAGGGATATTTCAATGTTCAAGAAACTGAGTGTAATTTAAAATACTTCATTTACACATGTTTTCCATCAGCCTTCACCATACACAGAAATACATTTAAGTTGGTCCCAACTTTATCCCAAATACAGCAATCTCTTTCCAAATGAATCAGAGCAGTTCTTTTGGAATCAAGCTGTTGCTTCCCCTAGCCTGAATATGTCTGCCATTCTGACTTTGACAGAAGTAATGCTGATATTCGAACACTTCCAGCCTCCCAGCACAGGAGAACATGAAGTGAACATTCAGGCCTGATATGATCTATTAAGCAGCTCAATTTCACCTGTAATTAAAATTAGACATCTCCATGCAAACTAAAAACTGTTGCTATAGTAAAACCGACAAAGCAACATGGGGTTTTAAGAATGTCAACATTTAAAACAGAAAGCAAAGAAAGCTAGACTGTGGGTTTTGTTAAAGGTAGAAATGAAGGTTCTGTTTCCCTCTTTGTTTTTCATTTTGTGTTTATAATTTCACTCCAAAGCATAGGGATTCTTTCAGTCAGTCGGGGAGTAACTCACATGCCACCATCTTTTATTCAAAGGCAGGCACAGATGTTCCTTCTGCAGGGGAGGTTTTAATTTATGAAAATGATATTGTTTATGCATGAATGAACGGCATGCACTCTGCATAAGGCATAGCACTTCCATCTGATGGGAGAAATACCACCGAACCAGCGCCAATGTCAGAAACATATTCACCACATTTACTCACTTAAATGTTTAATGAATATTTGGAAGGCATTTTCAAACCATAAGAAATCTTTTAAATGATCTCCTTCATTTCTTTTATGAATTGTTAACCATATTTTAAAGAGACTTTTACAGTCTTTACATTTGCTTACTTCTTACATAGAACTAATAAGAAAACTGTTTGCTCAGTGAAGACAAATCAAGAAAGAAAGAGAAAGGAAAAAAGAAAAAATTCTAATAGCTTTGTCTACATCCATAAAAAACATTTCTTGTGGTTTTGCTGTGTGTACTAGCTACAGTATTTGAGTTCTGTGTTGCCTTTAAGCAATTGCTGTTCCTACCATTGAAAATGCTTGTATCTTTTTAATGTTAAAGTCTCTAGAGAAGTATTCCTAGAAGAATCTTCAAACCTGCATTTGAAGTTGGCAGGTTATTTCATAGTTGAAGATAAAGTTTGGTTAAATAGTTTAATGAATGTATATTCCTACTGAAAAGGACTACTCCATAGAACTTCAATTTCATTTATGTCAATTGCAATTTTATGTAATATGTTGTATCTATTTTTAACCACTAAAAGGATAATTGTATAAAACTTTTCATGGGGGATCACATATTCAGGATAGTATACTGATTTTTAGGTTAACAACATTACAGCAAGATAGTATAATAAAATTTTAAGTAGTATAATTCATTGATAAAAATATCAGTATGTTTTCACCATTTGAATGTAGATATAAATCCCTACAAAACTGAAACATCTTCTGCAAGATGCCTAAATTCTGCAATTACTAATATGATATATGGATCATTAGTTAACAGTTTGAACCAAGCTGTTTTAGTTCTATAATTATACAAGAAATTTAAAGTGAAAATATCTATCAAACAATTAATAAAACCAGGTTTCAAAAACAGAGTGATTTTGTCCTAATGGGAAATGGAAAACAACAAAGCTGTTGTTGAAATTACATTTTTTGCTTCCTTTTTTTAAAAATGCATCCATCACCTCTTATTTTGTGACAATTGTCTCAATAAAAATTTCAGTTCCAGTAACCATGATATAAAAGAGCTAATGTAACATCTTGTGGAACACCAGGACTGAGAACTCATGCTATCATTGCAAAGAGGCACTCTGGAGTCAGACGAACAGTGATTTTTATGGTGGCATAACCATTGGCTCCTGGCCAGGCATTATGTTCCAGAGGACACTATTGTCAGGAACCATTCAGCTAGAAATCTGCACTGTATGCATTCAGAAGTTGAGATCATATGCCTTCCTATGTCAGGAAGAACTCTGTGCTGGCAATTGACTCATGCATTCTCTCCCACATACACTAACACTTGGTTCAATGACTCTGGTGGAATTAACAGTGTAGCCAAGCTAGTGGCATTGACAAGGCCACAGTCCCTGGAGAGTTCTGAATAAATTGCTAATTTAAAAATGCCTTGAAATGCAGAATATTGTGTTCATGGCTGACTAAATCTTTAGATACATTAAGTGTGAATTTGGCCACCTACATACTATTGTACTATTTGCCCAGCTAATTTGGTGATTTTTTTTCAATTTAAAAAGATAGTGACAGTAACCATTTCTATAGACCTCCCCCTCAAGTTTGAAACAACGAAAAGGGACAGATCCAATTAAAATGGCATTGAGAAAAGAGAGTAAGTATACTCGTCTAGTCTATTTGAGAAATTGGTGTTATTGGTAGTAAAACTCAAAACTAACTCTGATGTAGACTTCTTGATTAAGGACAGTGCATCAGGAAGATGGCTACCCACACTAGGTTAGCCTTCAATGCTTTGTGTTCATTTGTACCTGGGATCAG